GGGTACAGCGCCAAGGGACACCCCGGCGCCGCGGTGGCGCTCGGCCGCCCGCGCTCCTCTCCCTCTGCTGCTGTCCTGCTTCAAGGGGTACTTTCAACCTGGGTCAGGCTGACGGGTCGAGCTTGGGTCCTGCTCGCCACCACCCCAAACGCCAGGGGCTATACGGCTCTGCTCGGGAGGGGGTGCACCCCTGGAGCAGGGTGGCTCCACCCCCCTCCCCAGCAAGGGTCCCCCCCGAGGGGGACCCCGCGCGACCCTGCAAGGACACCCCGACGGCCCTGCCGGCTCTGCTGAGGGAAAGCACGGATGGTTTTTTCAAAGAGGAAGCAACAATATAAGAAAACCCCCCAAACCGCTGCCCGCTGATTTATGGAAGGTGACAGCTCCTGTTTAAACTGGCTTTTCATCTCGAGCTCGCGCTGAAGAGCGAGGCGAGTTAAGTCTGCAGATCCCGGAGGGGATAGATAATTAAACGGGACCACACGCGAACACGCGCAGAAATCCCGCTAAGAGCTTGATATTGCATAAGTCGCTCTAGTGCCACAGTGCCTCGGTGCAGATTTAGATTAGTTCAGTGCATCCTTGAAAGGATCACGAGGAGCAAGTCACCCGGAGGCTCCAAGCAGAGGAACGTGGCTTCAGCCCTCCGGCAGGGACACGTACGCCCTCCTCGTCCCCCTTCTGCAGCAGGACAGCCCCATTCAAAGCCCTCTGAAGGCAGAGGTCCCCCCACCTGCCTTTGGCCGGCCTCGGACCTGCCCTGCGCAGATCAGCTCCCAAATAGCATCACGATGAAAACCAAGCGGCTCACTGAGCCCGCTGCAATATCATCTACTGCTAGGACCATCGACGGATTCAAACCCATGGGAGCCCTTGGGATCTCAGGCTGAGAGCTGTCTGCAGCACAGCAGCTCCCAAACTCTCCCCACCTTGGTACCATCCGGGACGGCCCCACAACCGGCTGCACCTCTCTAGAGAGCTCTGATTTCACCACAGCGCTAGGGGTGACCAGGCATTTCCACTTTGATGACCCATGTTCCATGCTTTCCTTTGTTATAGAAAGTGGAAAAAAAAAAAAAAGATCCATGGGTCTAATCGTGGCAAAAAACACCCCAGCAATGTACAGAAAATGGGAGGTGGAGGGAAGTGATTTTTTTTTTAAAGCTTTCATTAAAATAGCACATGGTCCCAAAGTAGAAATCCATGTTATTCTTGCCTGTCCCATGGATATAGTTACATCTGAACCTGCGAAAACAGATGCGCTGAGCCCAGGGCTGGCGAGGAAATTCCAGCCTTGATTCGCCATGGAAAACCTTCCACATTTGCCCAACGTGCGACACTGATGGCCAGCTCTGGCCGGCGCGAAGGAGCGCAGCCATCCGGCCTGGCTCTGCGGAGGGGCGCTGCCTTTGCCCCGAAACCTCTGCACAAACACCCGCTTTCAGTGCATTCCAAGCGCTGCTCAGCCCTGCGGACAACCATGCAGAGCTCAAAATCCAGCACCACTCACACAAACATTAACTTGTTCCTCAACTCACACCCATTGCAAACCTAGTGAAGTCCAAACCCAAGACCCAAAGCTTTGCTTTCCCTTCACCCTGTGTGCGTCAAGCTGGGCAGGCGGCTACGGCAGGAGGTTTCCCCCGCTGACTCTGCAGCGTGCCAGGACCAGAGATCTGCTTGCAAAAGGCAGAGGGCCACTTTCTGCATCCCTCGAGGTGTTTCCCTGCTCGCTCTGTCCCTGAGCTCCAGCCCAGCACCTGGAAAGGACGCCTGAACAGGACGGCCCAGGCTGGCCAGGACACTAAGGCGGCAGGTGACGTGGCTGGGCTTGGGACTAAGATGAAGCCAGGTGAGCACAAACGAGCTGGCCTCGGGGCTGAGCTTTTGGGGCTCCCCGGGACCCACGAGGGGCGGAGGGGTCTGGCTCAGGGTGGGGGCTACAATGAGAAAAGCTCAAACCGTGCAGAAAGCGCCCGCGACAGCAGCCCCCAGCGGGGCCGGGGCCGTGCCGGGAGCTTCACTGGAGAGGGAGCGGTGGGATTGCTGGTGGGAAGGGGGAACCAGGCGAGCTGCAGCCTGAAGCGTCCTGCTCTGCTTCGCGGCGTGCTCCTCTGCCCTCCGAGCCCAGTGCCAGGGCGGCTTCCCCTCCCCGA